AAAAAAAAAAAAAAAAAAAAGAAAGGAAAAGAAGAAGAAAGATATGATTGAGATGGTTCTGTGGGGTAACCTTGGGGGGGTCATCTGTGAGGTGACGTTGGGGAGCGTGTGGGATGGATTATGAGAGTGTCTGAGAATTGGGTTTGAGGTTGAGTAGGGGTGCTTTGGGACAACTTTAAGGGTGTGACTAGGGATGACTCTAGGGGTCCCTGGGGTTGACCTTGTGAGAGTGGAGTTACTTTGGGGTTTCTAGGAGGTGATTTTGGGGATGTGCCAGACTTTGGGGGTGTCTGTTGGGCTGCTTGTGGGTATCAACAGGGATGAGTTTGGAGGATGATCAAGAGGTGTGTCTGGGGCACCTGTCCCCCTCTCCCCAGTTCTTATCCATATGAGTGGGGATTTCATGTTACTGGCAGTGGCCCTGTGCTGTGTCCTCCTCCCAGCCAGTGTTCCACCACCTGAACATGGTCAACTTTGTCTTTGTTTTCTTTTGCATTGGCATTGGTTAAATGCTGGCTCGGGGATGGCGGGACAGTGATGGAGGAGGGGGTACGCTCCCTAAGACCTCTCTGGCTTTTGGGAGGTGTATCTAGACTTTTGTGCTACTCTCCTCGGAGCCTCTGTCTTAGCATGTCTCTGGTGAGCTCGAACTCAGTTCTAGTCTCTCTCTCAGTCTGGGTGTGTGGGATGTTTCTCTCTCCCCCACTCTGTTTCCCTTTCTTTTTTGTCCCTTCTCTCCAGATATCTTTCTATCTGCTGTGAGGGTGTGTGTGTGTGTCTGCCTGTCACGGAGAGTAGGAGAGGATGTCTCAGTCCCTCTTTCTTACTGGGGGTCACAGAGCTCACTGTCCAGCCTTCTATCCATCTCTGGCCCCACCCCAGTGCAGGGCTCCTGATTCTCTTCAGCCTGACACTCTTTCCAGTTAACTGCAAGGCGGTGCACCTGAGTCTGGTGGTGTCCTGCCTGGTGACCTCCTACCTGTGCTGGCACGCCAGCAACCTGATGCTGCCTGCCGGTGAGGGTGAGGCCTCGGAGGTGGACAGGGCCTTGGGGGAAGCGGGTAGGGCCTAGGGTTGGACTCAGAGTCCAGCGGTACTCCTAGCCTGCTCCCCCAGGAGCCGTGTCTTACCTAATCCAAGTGGGCATGTGGAGCAGAGGGCAACCCTTGAACGCACGGCAGCTGAGCTGTCGTGGGTGGGCCTTGCAGCAGGGCACTGAGAGGTGCACATCCAAACAGCAGAACTCAGACACAGACTCTGAGCACAGCCTGGGCCTGCCCATTTCATGCACCCTCGAGGACGAGACCACGAGCCTCTTCAAGGAATAGCCCCCAAGCTCCTCAGAACACTGACCAGTAGCCCTGGCCAGATGCCAGGCCAACCCCTTCAGCATGGCCACGCCCCTGATATTAGACCTCCCCTGAGGCCCCACCTCTTGAGATCAGGCCATGCCCTATGAGGGGACTGGTAGCAAACTCTGACCCTCTCTCTAGGACCCGTCCTTTGCTGCTTTGTCCCTGCCCAATGGGTCCTCACAGTACCCGCACCCCAGAACTCCAATACCCCTTCCCATTCTGCAGACACTTGTCCAGTGTCCCATGAAGCTCAGCAGTGTGGCTATGTTGTGTGGTCCTGCCCCTGGTGCCCAGTCTTCGCAGGCCACACCCTGAAGCCACTCTCCACCCCCTCAGCCAGGGTGGTCTGCCTCGAACTTCTTTCCCAGAGTTCGAGCCTCAGCTCCAACGTTCACTCTTGTCCCCCATGCGGACATGGCACTGCCCAGCATTTGGTGCAACTCCGCCCTTCTGCAGAATGGGCCCCTCCCTGGGAGGGCATGGCTTGCAATAACATCCCTCTGTACCTTTCCTGGCTCCCCCGCCACAATAAAACGTAGACACTTGCTAACCTCTCAGCCTCGGACCCTCCATCGCCCCCCACCTCCAAACCAGGGCAGGGTCCATCCTAGCAAGAGTGAACTGGTCTGGTGTCCCTGACTTGCCCTTTGGAATCTGAGCCTTTCCCTGCCTGTTTGTCTGCACCTGTTACAGCCCCTTCCTTTCCCCACCTGCTGGTGACCTCAGACCTCCAGGCACAGAATTGGGACAGCTGGGGTGGCCCCAGCCTCAGCCACATGGGTCCAGGTGCACCATATCTGGAAAGACAAATGATGCTAGAGCGTGACACGCATTTGATGCACATTCAGTTTTACTGGGGGTAGGTGACAGGGCTGGGCATTCAGGAGTTGTCCGCTATGGTGTCCTTGATCCACTTCATATATGATAGCACTCTCACGAAGACAGAAGGCTTATTGGGGCTGCCACAAGGGACGTATCCCCATGATGTGATACCTTGGAGCACGCCGTCACAGGTCAGTGGGCCCCCTGAGTCACCCTGGGAGGTGGAAGGGGAGAGTGACAAAGGTGTGTGGGGCCCAGTTCTGCCTGGGGAGCCTCAGCTCTCAGAAAGGGCCTCCAGTGCCCACTTCCAGAGGAAGGTGGGCAGGGATTCCCATAGAGGGGCCAGGGGCTCCAGTTCTGGCCAAGGAGGAAGGGACTTCAGGGTCCAACTCCTGCGTATGTGGCAGGGTCCAGGAGGACAGTCCCTGCAGACAGGTCAGTGGGAGGAGGGGCAGGCCATCACAGAGGTCACCTCTCTGACTCAACAGTAACTGCGTTACCGGGAGGAACGGTGAACTCTGGTGTCGGGGGGGTGAGATGCAGTTGTACCTGAATGGGCAGGGGAAGGGAGGGGAGCTGGGGCACTGATGGGGCGGGAGGCTACAGCTAGCTGCGAAGCAGTGAAGCAGATGCCCAGTTAGTTCTCAGAAGCCAGTTCAGAGGCTGAGTCCCCTCCCCCAGCCCTTCTAGACTCTGGGGGCAGGACTGGCTCACCACACAGGTATCTTGGCCATCTTCCAGGGGTCCGGCACACAGCATGAACTCTGTCACATTCTGGGTGTGGGCTTTGTCGCACTCATCATTAGGCAGGATTTTGAGGTCCACACACTGAAGAACATCTGGAAATGAGACTAGGAACCCGGGAGAAAAAGGGCTGCAGCCAGACCACACCTGGTTCCCTGGCCCTTTCTCCCTCCGACTCAGGCACCCCCAGCCCTGCCTTGGCCTGCACAGTCTGCCCCCACATACACTTCTCTGGTTCGATGCTGCCCCAGCCGGAGGCCAAACAGGTGCTCCCAACTTCGACACCCTCGGTGGGCAACTCCACGACCTTCACAGCATCTGTGATCTGGACAGGCTCCTTCAGCTGGAGCAGCATGAGATCATGGCTGTAGTCCTCGCCTGGGAGGCGGGTGGGGTTCTTCAGGAGGCTCATGTTGAAGTCAGGGTGTGGGAAGCTCTCAATGACAAGAACAAACTGGGCTGTGTCTTCATCCTCAAACAAGTCATGGCGACCCAGCCAGAGCTGGTAATGGCTAGGGAAAGATGGGAGTCGAAGGATGAGGAGGCAGACAGGGGAAAGGAAGACGGGGCAGGGGAGCATGGGGGAGGGTCCCCAAAGAGGGAAAGAGAAAGAGAAAAACGTGGGCGGGCAGAGACAGAGGAAGAAAGATATGGAGAAATACAGACATCAAGTGGCAAGATGAAGGAGTTTGACAGTGCAAAGGGCAAATGCAGAGACAGAGTGAAAAAGAGCTCAGAAGGACAGAGAGGTGAGAGGCGGAGGGAGGGCAGTGAGAAAGAAACAGCGAGAGCAAAACAGAGGCCCCTGAGAAGGGGAAAAGACAGGGACAGCGAGAAACAGGCCCAGGGGAGAGGGAGGAAGAGGGAACAGACCCGGAAGGGAGCGAGAAGCAGACAAATGAAAAAGGGCTCGGGAAGTCAGAGCGAGAACTAGAAACAGAGGCAGAGAGGAAGGAGGGGTGACCGAGTGTGGGAGAGAAAAGGGAGGGAGGCCCTGGGGGAGGGTGGGGGCAGGTGGGGAGGAGGGAAGGCCTGAGAGCAGCTCAGCTGCAGCTGGGGCTGTGGTGCAGGCTCCCCAGGGGCGGATGGCCTGGGCTAAAGTCCAAGGTTGAGGCCCCCTTCCCTCCCCAGCACCCTCCCCGCCTTTCTTACTCCCGCTTCTCCTTCCTGCTCCCTCAGTTCCTCACCCAACTCCTGCTGAAACCAGCCTTCCCTGTGTCTCCCCAGACTGGAGGGATGTCCTGTGGGGGGCTGGGCAGAGGGAGAGGTGCCCCCTCCCAGACACACACTTTGGGGATAAAGCCCTTCCTTTGTTCTTGGGCCTCCCTTAGGCCCATCTGGGTGTGTGTTTAGTAGGGATAGGGGAGCGGTGAGGTAGAGACCCAGAGAGAGGAATGAGCAGAGAGCTGGAGGGTGGGGATCAGTGACAGAGATGCCACAGAGAGACCCAGAGGCAGACAGAGACAGGGGAGGCACAGAGACAAGGAGACAGAGAAGAGAGAGGGAGATAGAAACTAAAACACAGTCACACAGACACACAAGCAGAGCCAGATCTCAAGAGACCCAGCAAGACCCAGGCAGCCTTGGGGAGGGAGATCCAGCCCAGCTCTGCCTCCCCATGGGAACTGCCTTCCTCTCTGCCTCAGCCCCCCAGTCTTGCCTGAGGTTATCCAAGAGGAATGCCACTGGCCTCTCAATCCTGTGGCAGCATAGACGCCCTCCTCCCAGACCCCAGGCCCCTACTCACTCGCTGATGCAGTGGGCAGCTGTGAGCACCCACTGGGGGTGCACCAGGACGCCCCCGCACTGGAAGGTGCTGTAATGGTACAGAGCCGCCTGCCAGGGTTGGGAATGCGGCTTACACTCCCAGCCTCCCACAATCCGGGACTGAATCGGGGGCACAGCACCTGCAGAGGTGGTACTGGGTCAGGGAGGGCAGGGTTGGTAGGAGAGGCCACGAGGCTAGGAGAGGGAACTGGGCTGTGGGTTTGAAGGGACATTGTGGGTAGAGGACCAGGGCTGGAGGTCTGGGGACACGGGCAAGGGGTGTTGGGAAGGGCTGGGTCTCTAGACTGTTCCCTGGGCTTTTGGGGTGGCGTCTGGACCTGGTGGGGAGATTTCATGCTCTGACAGCAGAGCAGCCTCCAGGGATTAGGGCAGGAGACAGGAGGCAGTGTCAGGAGCAGACACTGTGTTGGGTGTCCGGTCACTTGGGCTAGGGGCTGGGAGGTGATGGGTTAGGAGAGTGGAAAGGGATTCTGGAAACCAAGGATCAAGGCGCCAAGGATGAGAGAGGATCAGAGGCTTGCTGAAGAATGTGGAGGGCTAAGGGGCTCCCAGGCTAGGGGAACACGACCTGGGTTGGGCTTTTGGGGTTCAGAAAAAGATGCCACTTTAGGGAACCGGATCTGAGAGGTCAAGAACAGCATCTAGATTGAGGAGTTTGGGGGTGATATGGGGTCCCTACACCGGGGTTGGAAGGGGCCAGCTCAGCTGGGAGAGTTAGATTTCAGGTCTTCTTGGTTAAAGGGTAAAAGAAAGGGCCATGGTTAAGGCTAGGGGTGGGTTCTGAAAAGTTTTGGGATCCTTCCTGTGAACCAGGAATGGCAACCTGAGAACAGAGTTGGGGTCAGGACTGGGAAGGGACTCGGGGGCTGGGGGGTGGAGGTGAGTGACAGTCCTTCTGGGACAGGGTGACAGATGGGATCTTTGTTTTTTATGGGGTTGGGGTTCATAGTCTGAGGGTACTGGAGGGATGTGGGGTCCTCTTGAAGGCAGTCCCAGGATAGAATTGGAAAAGTGGTCAAAGCAGGTGCCTAGCAGCTGCGGGAATGGAATGCAGGACCCACTTGATGTGAGGTTGTAGAATCACATACTGGTGGACTTGGGGGAGGCCAGGGCAGAAGGTCTGGCTGAGAAGGCATTCAGGATCTTTGGGGTGGGGTTCTAGAAAACCAGAGCTGTGCAGGAATGATTCAGGTGGAGAAGGGCTGGGGCCTGGGGTGGAATGGAAATTCCCCAAGGGAAGGAGCACATGGTGGGAGGGTGAGGGTGTTTTTCCTGGGAGAGCTGGGGGTGCTGAGTGGGTAGGAACATTTGCGGAGCCCCCCCCATACCAGATGGGGGAATCCCACATGCCAGTTTGGGAAGCAGGGTTGGCTGGTGAAATTTGGGGGAGCTGGGAGGACTGGGGGGACCAGATGTCAGAGTCTGAATGACACAGTTGAGAGCTGACAGCTGGATGAAAAAAGTCACTGGAATGTGGCGGGATTTGTAGACTAAGGTGCCAAATGGATAGCCACAGAGAACTAGTGGGTAGAAGGGGATGATCAAGGGTCCTGTGGGGTTGGGGAAGCCCATGGGAGACCTGGGTCCTCCAGAGAGAGACAGAGATGGCCCGGAATCTGCCTCTTTGGTAAAGCGGTGGGACAGGGAATTGACTAGGGAAGAGGAGAAAGTACTGAGGCTTCCTGGGAGGAGCAGGGATCTGGTGTGGGAGTGAGGACTGTGACAACATGGAGGGGCTGGGGTGGAATTTTAGAGTGGGCCCGTACAAGATAGATAAGAGCCCGGGTATCCCAGACCCGGGTGGACTGTGGGCTGGAGGGACGATGATGGAGTGTTGGAGGGGAAGGGCTTATCCGGGGGGGTGGTGAGGGTGTAAGAAAATCAGGGCCCACTCCCCCTCCCACATCCCCCACTGTCTCACCAGTCCCCCCCAGGGACAGGGCGAGGCACAGGACCAGGAACCACATGGTGACAGATGTGTGCAGGGCCCGGCAGGTGGAGGAGCTGGGGAACCTCCCTGGGGAGCCTTTTAAAAGCCCTTATCCCCTCAGAGCCCCACCCATGCCCTGCTGGCACCCAGATGTTGGCCAAGGCCCTTCCCCTGTTGCCTGGGGGCTGGACAACCCCCCCTTTTCTGAAGAGCTGCAGACTGGAGGGAGAACCAGCACCTGTTCCGCAGGCCCTGGATCACGCTGGATGCATTCCTGGGGCTGAAGCCAGATGGGGCAGGGCCTATGAGGCAAGGGGGACTGAGGGGAAGCAGAAACAGGAGGGTAGAGGAATCAGTGACCCTCCTACAAAGCCTCGTATGCCTAAGTTCCAATTAAGGCCCTGCACCCCAAGACCTGGTGCCCTCAAATACCAGCAGTTAGGGCTTTGATTCCCTGCACCACTCAGAGCCAAGATACCAGCATTTCAGCTGCCAGCTCCCCCCGAAATATAAGCCTTGGCCTTCAGAATGCCCTAGTTCTTGCACTCCCAGACCCAGGACCTAGGTCCCCAAAGTGACTGTTCCTTTCATAATAAAATTTTGGGGTATACACCACCACATTTCTAGTGCCTCCAGATCGAGGAATGTGAAGTTTCAGGGGTCTCCCAGGGTAAATTCTTTAGCATTACAAAACCCAATGTCCCTCCCAAACAATGCTGGGGTCCCAGTGAGCCACCCACTTCTTGTACCAGTTATGGGTACTCAATGTCCTGCCCTCCAAAGCCCCAGAGATCTGACAGTCTTTCCTCCCAGGTCAAGATCAGGCTAACCACAGATTCCATTGACCACTCCCCATTCCACCAATACAATATTTAGGTCTCAAGAGCCAGGTTCATGTAATTCAACATTCAGCGACCTTGAACATCACATTTTGTGGTCGCTGAAGACAATTAGGAATTAGATTTCTGCAGCCTCAGTGGTAAACCCATAGGCTTCCAACATGTTGTCTTGGCTTTTTGGTAAAATCAAAGCAGCTCAGAGTTCCAGCCTCTGCTGTATATCAGGAACCTGGCTAAGAAAAGGACAGTATTTGCCTTTTTGCCATGGCTACCAGGAATCCCAGAACTAAATCTTTTTTTTTTTTTTTTTTTGAGATG